GCTATTCTCAGACATTTATTGAGTACCTCTGTTGCCAAGGGATTGAGTCGGGTCATTTCTAAGATTTGTTCATTCATCAAATACTTATTGAGTACCTACTATGTGCCAGGGGTAATATGGCCTCTGCTCAAATGGAATTTACAGACTAGTGGGGAGTCTGTCAATCAATAAATGTATAAACAATTTTCAAATAATGATAGGGCCTGTAAAGAAAATAAAGCCAGAGAATGGGCTAGAGAGTGGTGAAGGGGTGCAGAGGTATTTTTAGGTTTTGTGGACTTAGAAGGCCTCTCCCTGAGTAGATGTCATTTGAGCAGAAACCTGTTTGAAAAGAGGAGCCAGCCATATGGGGATCTGGGTGAAGCAGTGTTCAGATACCAAGGCCCCGGGATCAAACTGAGTCTGGGCAGTGCAAGGGCCAGATGGAAGGCCATTGTATCTAGAGCAGGATGAACCAGGGGGAGAGTGTTGGCGATGAGGTCAGAGAGAAGGGTAAGGGCCAGATCGTGTCAGCCCTTGTGGGTTATAGGAGGGAGCCTGGATTTTCTTAATGTGATGGGACGACTTTGAGAGTTCGAGCAGGGGAGTGACATGTTGTAACTTTTTTTTTTTTTTTAAAAGATGACCGGTAAGGGGATCTTAACCCTTGGCTTGGTGTTATCAGCACCACCTCACCCAGTGAGCTAACCGGCCATCCCTATATGGGATCCGAACCCGTGGCCTTGGTGTTATCAGCACCGCACTCTCCCGAGTGAGCCACAGGCCGGCCCGTAACTTACATTTTTACAAGAGCACTCTGGCTACAGAACTGACTGTAGAGTAGCAAAAAAGCCTGGGGGAACTGACTATAGAGTAGCAAAAGTAGAACAGGAGGTTTTGTGTTGAGCCAAGGGATTCTCTCACTTCCTGTGTTCTAGAATTCAAGAATTCAACTTCTTGCGTTGGTTGTAAAGGTGCTGCCACCACAGAATTCCTGCTTTAGGGCTCAGATCTGTCAGCTTGGCAAACCCTGCTGCTGGAGGACTCTAGGGTGGAGAAACCTGGGATGTTCAGTTCACCTAAACTTCTGTCCCTGCGTCTAAAGATTTTCATGGTTTCCCTTCATGTTTATTTCTCGTGGAGACTATATCTTAAGGGAGAGTCATTTTGGAATAAATTTGTATCAAGACCCTAAGGAAAAAATGTTAGCTTTCCGTGACTATTTTCAAAAACAGAAACTTCATGTTTACTCCAAAGGATTTGTGGCCAGAGAATGGAGATAGAAGGGACAGTGTTGGGCTGGAAAAACCATAGAAAGGGGATTCACCTTGGTAGCTTGGTAAGCAACCCAGACCAGGAGCCAGAGGCCTGGGTTAAACCTTTGGCACAGCAAACGCTAGTGTCTCTATACATTTCAGCAAGTTTCTTAGCCTTTTCAAGTCTGCTTCCTCATCGGTAGAGATAACATCTGTCCTGCTAACCTCACAAGGCTCTCATGGGTGCAATGAAATGAGAACGTGGAGCACTGTGTATAGATGTGTCCTGGCAAGCTGAGGTGGCAGCATTCCAGATTAGGAGATGACAGGCATTTGCATCTCGTCAGCTATTCCCATATGCTCAAGTAATATTCCAACAAACACCCTGGGATGAGGGGCGTGGGTGTTTTCCCTGGTTGTGTAGTCCTAGGAGCAAAGCATTTGGAGTATGTGACAAGATCTGATTGACTAACTCTCCCCTCCCTCACCCCTAACAACTGATTCAAGAACTACTTAACTTCACACTGAGTGGCCAAGACATCTCATACCTTTACCTGGGCTATTCCTGGAAAGTTACTGGGTAAGGTCCCTAGAGCAAAGGTTAGTGGAGTTGGCTTAGAGTCTGCTAGACCTGGGGAGAGACGGACAGATAATTGCACACGCGCGCGCGCACACACACACACACACACACATGAACAAGGCACAGTTGCAGTCACTGTTTTTGTGAGTTGGACTCACAGCATTTGCGGATAAGTTAAATGTATAAATAAACAATTGGTGAAAATTGCTTCAGTGGAGGTGTCTACAAAGTATGGAGAAAGGAGTGACTAATTGACTAATTCTGCCAGGGAGTGGGTCAGGGAAGGCTTAAGAGGAGAGAGCATTCGAGCAGATGCCTGTTAGATATTTGGAGATCTCTGCATAAAGAAGAGAGGGGGCAGATACTTTCCAAGCCAAGAGGGGTATGAAACAGCATGGGGTGCTCCGGGGGCTGGTGACTAGGATATATAAAGGCATGGGGAAAAACAAGGCTGCTAAGATCAGTCCAGGCCAGATTGTGCAAAACCATGATCTGAGCTGATGTTGGCGTGTCTGACCAGAGATTTCTTTCTTTTATGTGATGTTTAGCCACTGACAGAGCTGTTCTGAGGCCCAGTGTGCTAGTGTTAATAAATGTCAGGGTGGGTCCTTGCACTGCCTAGTATGGTGTCTTGCCTGAAGTCAGCATTTAATTATTTACTGAAATGACAGAGACTTGTTAGTTATCTCGAAGTTCCAGAGAAGATAAAGTCCCCTCTCAGATCCCCAGACACTGGGGTATGGACACTGCATGCCCTGTGCCCTGTGGTACCAGCATGCTAAGAACGCGATCAGATCAGTGACTGCTGCTGTTGCTGGGCTCAGCGGTCATGTCCACACCAAGAGCAGCTGCTGAGGTGTGGTGTTCCCACGACCAACTCCTGGATCTTCCCTGTAATCAGAAGCATAGCTGAGGAGGAGTGAGGGGCAGGGGGAAGGGGTGATCCATTCCCATGAGTACCCTTTCAGTAATTACAAAAAAAATTTTTTTGACATTACGTAAGTAAGTATGTGATTAAACAATCTGTGGTCAGTGGAGATGGGAGACAAAGGAAGGTGCCTTTTCAGTGTACTTTCTGTCACCTGCCAAGTTGGTTGACATTACCCTTGACCTCAGGCCATGCCTTCCCTCTGTCTTGTCCCAACCCCCTTCCCAGATGTCCCATGATCAGCTGGAGCTCATGGATGTGACTGCTAGGTGGGCCTCTAATTTCCTGTATGTTCTCTTATCTGGAGGCTAGGACATGTCCACCCTGCAGAACTCCAAGAAGAGAGAATATGAGGAAAGTACCTCCCCATCTGCAGCCTGTGATCTGATGACCGACAGGTCACCAAGGCCCTTTCCATCATGTCATGTGACTTTCTTTTTTTTTTTTTTCCTTTTTGTCTTTTTTCATGACCGGCAACGGATCGCAACCCTCAGTGTCGTGCTGGTACCGGACCCGGACCGGCAACGGGATCACACCCCTCGGTGTTGCTCCCGCACCTCGCTCAGCCAGTGAGCAGCCGGTCTGTATGTGGGATCCGAGCCCGCAGCGGGAGCGCCGCCGCGCTCCCAAGTGGCGCACTGTAGCAGTGCGCCACCGGGCCGGCCCATGTCATGTGACTTTCTTTTTTTTTTTTCCTTTTTGTCTTTTTTCATGACCGGCAACGGATCGCCACCCTCAGTGGCGTGCTGGTACCGGACCCGGACCGGCAACGGGATCACACCCCTCGGTGTTGCTCCCGCACCTCGCTCAGCCAGTGAGCAGCCGGTCTGTATGTGGGATCCGAGCCCGCAGCGGGAGCGCCGCCGCGCTCCCAAGTGGCGCACTGTAGCAGTGCGCCACCGGGCCGGCCCATGTCATGTGACTTTCTTGCCATATTACTTAGTCTTTGTCTCCTAATGATTCCAAGGTGACATTCAGAGGTCTTCACATTTGCTGCTAGACAGGGCTTTGTTCTGTTAACAAACCTTAAAACCTAAAAAAGGTGACTGTTAAATTACACAGGCTTTTTTGCATATTGTGGAGACATAATTTATTCAGGTGGCTTCCTATTAAGGCCTAAAGTGAAAGAGGTCTGTGATTTTTTAAAATCTTTCCTTCCCTTTCTTTCCTGGTATTTACCCCCCTGACCACCCTCTCCCTTTAAAAAACTTTTGTATCATGGAAGATTTTAAACATCTGCAAAAGAGGGGAGAATCATATAATGAACCTATAAGTACCAGCTTCAACAATGATCAGCTCTTGGGCATCTTGTATCATTTACATCTCCTCACCTACCCATCCTTAATCATTTTGAAGCAAATATGAGACATCTTATCATTTCATCCTTAACTATTTTAGTATGTATTTCTAAAAGATGAAGACTGGAAAATCATAATACTTCCTTATCACACCTAATGATTCCTTAATTCATCAGTATTCAACTGATCAATAGTCACATTTCCCTGAATATCTCAAAATCTTTTTCTTTTCATATTTTGTTTTAATGCAGTTGGCTGATAGATCCCTTAAGTTTCTTTATATTTATAGTTGCTCCTATCTTTTTTTTTCCTTGTAATTTATTTATTGAAGAAGGCTTTGGTTCTCTTTAGTTTTACTTTGTGTGGATTTTGCTCATTGCATCCTCCTAGTGTCATTTAACATATTCTTCACTCCTCTAAATTTAGATTCAGTTTTTTGGCAAGCATACCTCATGTGTGGTGGTGTCAATTTCTTTTAGGAAGTACATAATATATACTTTCTGTCTCTAAACTCTCTTTGTGATGGTTGATTGAGTTTTTAGTTATGTTAAATATTTAAGAGGGTGCAGGCCCCTTAGTGTTTACCTAGGCCCAGGTGGTGGTCTTGAGGAAGTAGAAAAACAGAGTGTGATCACAGATTGCTTTCTTGGTTGAAGTCAGACGATGGTGGGCTCTTACATTCTCTGTCCCTGAACTATTTGCTTGTGTTGGTTCCTCCAGCACTTCCTAAGAGATAAATCAGCATGAATTTGATCTAGAGCACTGCCATAGTTTGTTTCTCTTAGTTATAAAAGATCAGTTCACTTAAGAAACATTGTCTAAGGAAAGGCTCAGATGTTTTGGAAGTTATTTTTGTATTTTAGAGCTGTTTCTTGGTTTGGCTAAATCAGCTACTTTTCTGATATTTTCCAGGTATGTGTTTTCATTTAATTTGTAACCTAATTCTTTTCTGCTTTTAGGATCTCATTTTGCCCAATGGTGGGACTCCAGCAGGCACCTCCAGTCCAGCTTCATCATCTTCCCTTCTCAATAGACTTCAACTTGATGATGACATTGACGGTGAGACCAGAGATCTCTTTGTCACAGTTGATGATCCCAAGAAGCATGTGTGCACTATGGAAACCTACATCACATATAGGATCACCACCAAAGTAGGTCCCTTTGTTATATAATGCCTGTGTTGAATGGTCTTTGGGAATTGAGTCCTACCTTCTCCTTTTGTACAACTCTGTTCACCTTTATTACATTGTTGGTGTGGCTTTTTGAGAGTGTGTTTATATTCAGATTAAAAGGGTTGTATACAAGTTTTTTTAAATTTTTAATCTTAAAATGAGGGAGAAATTGTGACTAAGGTCTTTCAAATAAATGTTTAATCCCTATGCTTGCAATTATTTTATATCATGATACTATTTACCATGTTAATATCCTATTACTCTTGATATTTATCAACCATTATATCAACCTAAATCACTGTGATGAGACCATGATTATAATTTGGCCTAATTGGGGCTGATGGTAGGGAGAGAAGAAAAGGATGGGAACTAATACTGACTTCCTGCTATGTGCCAGGCAGGTAGAGGGCAGGGTGTTGAGATTTAATTGATTGCCACAGCAATCCTAAAAGTTGTATCTTTTAGTTGCAATTTTGCAGATGAGGAAAAGGAAACAGAAAGTTTAAGTAACTTGTTCAAGATTACAAAATTGGTAACCAGGATTCTAATTTAAATTCGTAGCCCATATTTTCATCTTTAAACCCATACTCTTTACATAATTCCACTTAAGAAAGAATAAGTTTAATGTATTGTTTGTTACTTTTAGAAATTATTTTTTAAATATTTAAAATAGTACTAAAATTTTAGGCTTGGAGTAGGGTTTCTCAATCATGGCAGTATTGACATTTTGGACTGAATAATTCTTTGTTGTCTTTTTGTTGGATGTTATTAGCATGCTTGGTCTCTTGGCCTCTACAGCTTAGATGGTAGTAGTACCCTCCTCCAAGTCTCCAGTTGTGACAACCAAAAATGTCTCCAGACATTGCCAAATATTCCTTGGGGGACAGAATTGCCCCTGATTGAAAACCACTGACCTTGAGGAAGAATAACAATATCTACATTAGTAGGGAGAAAATTCACATTTTTGAATAAAAAAAGTATTTTAGTCAGAAAATCATCCTATTTCTTGGTATTCACATACCTCTGCCCCCCAACACATAATGAAGAAGGATTGAAGGATTTACAGATATTTTCAGAAGTTGTAAGTGTTAATAGGAGCTCTGAGAGTGTGTCTGTCTTTTAATGTGCCTTTTCTCTTTTTCATTGTAGGAAAAAAATTTATTTTTTATTGTGAAAGCTAAGTAGGTTCTGTACCTGTTTAAATTCTTTGGAAAGAAAAGCAGAGAGTAAAATGCACTCAAATTTTGTTTATTTTTTATTGAATGAAAATGTTATATATTTAAAATTATACAAGTACTATAAATACATTATTGTAAAAAATAAAAGAAACTATACTAAAGACCAAATCCAGAGTAGAAAACTGAGTATCTTCTCACTTAGATTATTCTCACCACAAGCAACCATTGCTAAAATTTGGTGTGTCTCCTTCCAATTCCCCCACCTCCTTTTTGCATTTTATTACACACATGTATAGTTAGAATATATATAATTTAGATTTCAATGTAAAATTGCTTTCTAACTTTCTCTTCCATTTTACAATATTTTTGAAGACCTCTCTGTGTTCATATAACTATATCTAGCTTAGTCTTTCAGTCTCTACCTAATTATTTATGCAATGATTATTCACTTTTCTCTATGGACATGTAAGCCTTTCCCAATCTTTTGGTATTACTATACAATCCTTTCTGCACTCGAAGTTCACATTCGAAGATTTGCCTGTACACGTGTGCACGCACACATGCGTACACAGTTCTCCTCCATTACCACTGCCACTGAGCATCTACTATTTCCCAGGCACTGGGCCAGGTGGTTACATGTATATTATTTCCTCAGGGGTCCTAGGTTGATATTGCCAGGAATTATTTCCATTTATTTATTTTTCTAGGGTGAACTTATTTTTCACCCTGAAGCCAGTGAAATACAAAACCTGTTTTTCTTGAATCGGTGCTGTCAACAGCCAATTGACAAGGTGACTGCGTTGCTGGCACAGCAATGCTTGAATCTCTTGATATTTTTCCACTGCTACTTGATTCCTCTGCCCTGCTCTTTACCCCCCAAAATGCAAATACGGCAGGACTTGTGTTAACGGATTCATAGGCTAATGCAGCTCACCAGTATTTCCTACCCCTCTGTTCTTTCCTTCTCTACCTTTTTCTCTCTGTGTTCTTATTTCTATCCCTAATCCTGGGGTAATTTGATTTCTTATAAGTCAGAAAATGTCTTAGAGTAAACTTTTCGAAGTTCTAGTCCCACACTGTCACTTGGCTTTGATGCCACCACCTGAAGTGAAGATGAGTTTGTTGCAAAACTAAGTTTTACTTCTTACCACCTTTTCCACCTCTGATCCCAGCCTAGCCATCTTATTTTCTGGTTTCTAATAGTGACACCAGATTTGGGTTTTTAATTTTTTTTTTTCTTCTTAAAAGATGACTGGTAAGGGGATCTTAACCCTTGACTTGGTGTTGTCAGCACCACGCTCAGCCAGTGAGCGAACCGGCCATCCCTATATGGGATCCGAACCCGCGGCCCTGGTGCTATCAGCACCGCACTTTCCCGAGTGAGCCACAGGCCGGCCCCAGATTTGGGTTTTTTTTTTTTTTTCCTTTTTGTCTTTTTTCGTGTCTGGCAACAGACCGCAACCCTCAGTGTCGTGCCCGTACCGAACCGGGACCGGCAACGGGATCGCAACCGTCGGTACTGCGCCCGCCCCTCGCTCAGCCAGTGAGCGGGAACCGGTCTGTATGTGGGATCCGAACCCTCGGCGGGAGCGCCACCGCGCTCCCAAGCGGCGCACTATAGCAGTGCGCCACCGGGCCGGCCCCCAGATTTGGGTTTTTAAAAAACACTTATTTGTACATATTTGTGGGGTACGGTGTGTTGTTTCAATGCATATACTGTACAATGATTCACTTAGGGTAGACAGCATGGTTTTGTACCCATTAGTCCACCGCTTTTCCTTTCCAGCCTCCCTCCTGCCTCGCCTCTGGTAACTATTATCTACTCTCTACTTCTGTGAGAACAACTTTTTTTTTAAGATTCCACTTATGGTATTTGTCTTTTTGTGCCTGATTTACTTCACTTAACATGGTGGTTTCCAGTTCCATCCATGTTGCTGCAAATGATAGGATATCATTTTTTAAAAATAGCTGAGTAGTATTCCATTGTGTATATATATGCCACCGTTTTTTTACCCATTCATCCATTAGTGAACAATTTAGGTTGATTCCATCTCCTGGCGATTGTGAATAGTGCTGCTGTGAACATGGGGGTGCAGGGCAACACCAGGTTTAATATGTTAGTGGTGCATTTGGAGCCTTCTTTCTGAAAGTTCTGTTGAAGGATGTAGGGGTGTGTGGGTTATGAGAGAGAGAGGACAAACAGCAACACAGGATCCCACATCTGATCCTGTCCTGGGACCTCCATGTCTGCTGAAGTCCTCAAGCAAAATAAATGGTCAGAGGACAAGGTTGCACAAGTGCTTACTTTATTACTTTGAGGTTTTGACTCGCTAGTCCTAATTCAGATCCTGATGACTAAACCTGAACAAAGTACAGAGCTCTTTTTGCCTGAACTAAAATGAGCCTAGGGCTGAAAGCCGATGCAGGCAAGAATTCTCCACCAGAGTCTTTCTGCAGTCATGGGAGCTAGCCTAGGTCTTCTCAGGGCAGGCAGCTCCTGGCTCTTTTCTCTGCAGACTCCTAGAAAGTAACATCATAATAATAACTAAGAAATGCACACTTACCATGTGCTGTGCTTTTTTACAATACAACCCTTTAACTATATTTAATATAAATAGATATTATTTATATAAATTTATATAAAATATTTTATAAGTAATATATGTTCATTGTAAAAAAAAATTAGAAAATGCAAGCAAGCTAAAATAATAAAATGAAAGAATCCCTGTAAGCTCAGCAGCCAGAAATAATCATTGATAACTTTCTGTACTGTTTTTCTCTATCCATTTACAAAAACGAGTATTTTGCATTCTGCCAGTTCACTTATGCATTGTGGGCATCTTTCGATGGCAGTAGGTTCTGGAAAGCACTCCTTGATGCCCTCATTTATTTTTTATTTATTTATTTTTTTAAAAAAAGATGACCGGTAAGGGGATCTTAACCCTTGACTTGGTGTTGTCAGCACCACGCTCAGCCAGTGAGCGAACCGGCCATCCCTATGTGGGATCCGAACCCGGGGCCTTGGTGTTATCAGCACCGCACTCTCCCGAGTGAGCCACAGGCCGGCCCGTTGATGCCCTCATTTATAAGCCTGCAATACTGTTCCATTGTGCGGGCGTGTCATCATTTATTTCATGCTAAGTGCTTTAAGTATATTATTAGTTAATCTTCCCACTCACTGAAGTAGATATTGATACTATTCTTATTTTACAAATGAGGAAACTGAGACACAGAGACTTTAAGAAAATTGCTCAAAGACATGCAGCTATTATGTGGTGGAGCTAGAACTTGAGTCCAGGTCTGTCTGATTGCAGAGTTCTTGCCCTGACTAGTTGTGCTGTACTTCCAAAAGACGTGATTTCCATGAGAGGGCGAGTTCTCATACCCAGCATGGCAGTCCAGTACCATGGCCTGGCTGTTGAAACTGATGATTAGACATAGACCAGAGGCTGATGGAATAGAGAGGAGCCTCCCGCCGCCTTGAGAGGCCATCCTCCTCTCGTCTTTTACCCCATCACCAGTCAGTCATCTCCAAGGCTTATGCTCCAACTGGTTCCTCTTTTCAAATGCCTCAGTGGTCAACAGAGTCTAAATGCAGTGGGTTAGGATGAATGGGAGGTAAGAAAGAGAAGACATGTGCTGGTAGTTTCGCAATGAGAGCAAGCACAGAGAAAGAGCAGTAACTGGAGGGGGATGTGGATTTGAGGGAGTGACTTTTTTTTTAAAAGGATGAAAGAGATTTGCTTAAGTGCAAGTGGACAGTGTTGATAGAGAAGGAGACATTAGGCTGAAGATTGAAGA